TAGTTGAAGACAAATTACAATATGGGTAACATAGTCCTCACAAATGTTAACTACAAGAATGAGCACCACAGAAAACAACCAGTGCAGTTAACAAATATTTGAAATAACTATTTCAGAATAAACCTGGGGATGTGGAAGTATTCATACACTCCCCTGGGGGTGTGTATCTCACTATTATAACCCAAGCTGTCTTGAACTGTCAATTCTCTGGCTTTAGTGTCACAATCACCACACTCACAAAATAGGGTAGCCTGAAACCCAGGAGGCAGGCCCCAAACTCTCAACCACTGATCCTGCAGCTGCCTCCCGAGTTGCTGAGAGTACAGGCATGAGTAACCACGCCCAGCCCGGCCTTAGTCTCTTTAATACATGTTCTCCCTATACATAACCTGTAAGATGTTGTATAGCCTAACTAAATGGCTAAAGTATCCTTATGAACACATTCTCATTAATAGATGGTTTACAACTGTAAAGGAAGAATAAATACATAGATGCATGTGTAAGTAAAAAGATTTAAGAGCTATGTATTTCAAATGTTCTGTTTATGTTTTAATTTAGGAAAGCTTACTTAAAATGTCCAATACACATTATTAGGAGAATTCAACATTGTGTATTCCATAATTAAGATGCCATGAGCACAATGTGCTTATCTTAAGTGTATTTACACATTAAGTGACAGACAGAGAATCCTTTCAAAATAATCCAAGGGTAATGACAGAGATGAAGAGGGCCTATATATAATTTTGGCTGGTGACCAATAAGAACATGGGGGCATCATAGAACTGTTCTGTTAATGTAATTTTTCTATATCAGACATGCAGAAATTTCCATTTAAAGAAAAGGTTATAATCACTGGTGGTGACTTCTCTACAGAAAGTGGGAAGGCTCAGGAGACTTCAGGTAAATGTTAGAGGCTCTGATTCTTTTACCTTTGAAAAACTAGTCATAAGTGATATTTTGAAAAAAGAAAAGGAAATTACTACTTCTTTTGTAAAGAATGTTGAATGGAATGAAGCATTTGGGTTTCTAACATTTTCAAAACTTTCCACAAAATCTGTTTATCCATGCTCTTGCCAAACTTTCAAGTCAGGATTAATATAACCTAACAATACTCATCTCAAGCCTAATATCACTAGATGCCCTAAATATGGGGAAGGTGCCATTTACTTCTGCAGTGCAGAAATGTGTTTAGAATCAGAACTAATTTACAGAAAAGATGCAGAATGTATAGCTTGTTTTTTGTTTATTAATTTATTTTGCAGGAATCTTTGACTTTCTGAAAATGTACTGCTTGGAGGTACAGTACATGCATGGCCTTTTAATATGCCTTTGTACATTTTTTTCTCTCAAAGTAATGTCCTTCAGAGCATACACAGAAATCTAAGAGACATAGTATGTACAAGGTTTAATTAACTTCTTGCTGCTTTAATGAAGAACATGTTCAATTCTTTTACAGTAGGGAAAGAAACATGGACAATGGGGGTTGTTATAAATAACTCAGAACCATTCAGTTTCAAAGCAACCTTTCACGGCTTTAGAAACTAAAATCGACTCATTTCTGTTAGCTCTGAATGCCCAAGCCATGCAAAATTCTACTTGAATTAAATATCTGGGGATGCAAATGATACAGACAAAAATCTGGTGAATGTGAAACATTATCAGAATTAACTTTCACAAGAGGGAAATACTGTTAATTCTTTCAAAAAGGATACAGTAGCGGTGCAACAAAGAGAGTGGCCAATTCCAAGTTTTTAAAGTAACATTTCAATTGCCATTTCCTTTCCTTTACAGATACACGGACACACACTACAACATGGATTCACTCAAGCCCCAACAATGGTACAATATTAAAATAATTCAATTTGTAATCTTAAAGGGACATCTTCACATTCCAGGATACACCACTGATATTTCTAAAAGACAGTTCTTCTATGCCTCACATTCTTTCTCTCATACTGTCAGAAATACATAAACAATTAACTTTCTAAAAAGACTATATAAAATTGAGTTGCCACTGAGAGTCAGATATGAACCCTTAGATAACTGTGACAAACCAATGAAAAGATTTAAGGAAACATCAATTTCTTTTATAATTAAAAAGTACTAAAATTGAGACCAGCTCCTTAAAAATTAAACTGCATATCACACTTCCCATTTCTTCCTGGGAAATAAACAAATTAGCAACACTTTCCTCCACCATCATTAATCTTCTCTAAAACTACATATTTATACAACGCATTTCTTTTGTTTCTTTAATATCCCCTGCCTCTACTTCCTCCCAAACTAGATCAGTATCAATTCAAAACATTTTACAATGCTTAGAGATTTCTGGCTACTCTATATTTTCACTTTAAACTTTAAGAACTCCAAAACTTAAGGGGGCAATATTCTTTTAATACAATGGCAATAGTGCTTTCTACAAACCCAGTTTACAAAAACAGTGAAATGATATAAAATGCAGTCAGGTCTGTGTTACTAGATACGTTAAACTAGTATTTTTACGAAAGCAAGCCTCTTACACAAAACAAGAGTGCACCAACTGATCCAAAGAGCATGGACACCTCAGCAGCCAGCTATCACCCAAGTTCTACCATACCACTATATCTTACCACTCAGTTATGCATACCAATCTGACCAGGAGAACATTCTGAAATAAAAAACACCTGGAAGGTTCTGTGAATTCTTATTTGAACTGGTCATAGGTAAGGAGAAGTCTATATATGGAACACAGTTAAATGTGTCAAATTAATCAGTGTAAAGATATTTTGTTTATTTTTAGGAATCGAATGCAGTGTATGTGGGCATATAAACTTGTGAACAATTAAAATTTAACACGTACAAAACTTCCTTAAAGTCCTTCTGATGTCTCATACATACCTTCCATACTAAGCAATGCCTCATTTTTTTCTGTCAGGTGAAAGCAATGATTGACTAGATATATCATCAAAGGACTGAAACCATGCATCTACTGTATGTTAACAGCTTATTGACCTTGGTGTGTTTTCATGCAATAGTTTTTATATCATCTACATGGTTTTAATAAAGCATCAGACTTTCACACATGCTACTTTCATTTTCAACTAACCAGTGCCACGCTGTTGGTATTCAGCATTTCCCTATGAATACTTGTACATTTTTAGGTAGAATACCAAGTAGTATATATGTTCCCCCTAACTTTTTTGGTAACAACAAGTGGAGTTGTCCATCACTAAGGGAGACAAGAAACATACAATGCAAGGGCACCTTAAAGAACAGTAGGACTGCTAGACTGGTACTGGGGATTGACGAGAGACTCATGTTATAAGCCCTTTCCATGTTCATGGTTTTGAGCCTGTCTGCTTTTCCGCCATTATTATTTTCACAGTTTTGCCACAGTTGTATGAGAGAGATTTACTAGCAAGTACAAAGTCATGCTCTTTGTGAAACAAATGGATGTATTTTGGGGCATTCGTTCTCCACACATGAAGGCTATATGCAGTGTGTAAAGTTATGGTTATGATAGAAAACTACAGTGAGTTATGCCTTTGGTTTCATTATGCTGTTGAGTGCAGCTTGTTTTTCCAGGTCTGCCAGAGATTAATGCTAAATTACAATACAGTAACAGTACAAAGTGACTGTGTATGCAGGAGGGGGGTGGCTGACCCGGTATTTCCTCAGGTAAAATTCTTCAGGATGGAGAAACCTAACAACTTTATTGCTGTCTATGTTCACCAAAATGGGGAGAAATTCCAAAATTCAATTCTGAGCCAAAAAGGACATTTAAGGCAGAGAACTTCTTACTGTAGTATTATTAATTTTCCCAAAATACATCATGGCAAGTGACCTGACTTATTATATTCTTCAGTGTATCCATAATACCTGCATTCTGTTTCGTAAGTAGTGCTTTAGTATTCCCTGAACTGCCAGAATTCAGTGTGATCTGCCCCCTGTATACATCATCCCTTGATAGTAGCTTTCTTTTCAAACCTAGAGCACCTTATGTATGCTAGGCTACTGCACTTTTACTGAGCTGTATCCTCAGCTCAATAATATTCTGAGAGTAGTCTTCTCTTACAACTCAAATAATGAAACTTTATGATGTAGGCCAACTTCAAATTCCCTCTCATTGGCTGGGTAACACATGTGCAAATAAATAGCTCATGATTTTTCTCAGATAAATTAGACAGACTATGGTACAAAGTATTTTTGTGCTGTAAACATCATGTATTCATCACAAACCAGAAGTAGGGGACCCTATATACTGCAAACGTTTCTTAAGAACCACAGCTGAGCTCAGAATTTCCAATGGGTTTTGGAATGGATTTGCATTTGGCATACATTCACTGTGCTACTGGCAAGGCATGGTTTTTTGAGAATGTCATTTTATAAAACCATACTTCATTACTTTTAAAATCGACAACCTAAGAAAAGTATACAATAATTTATGTGGCATAAGTAGGTCTTAGTTACCAGTGTTGATGCAGCTTGATGAACTATTGTTCAAGCAAAAGAGGTATTACTACCTCTGATTGTACTTCCTCACAAAGGGCATGATATGCCTAATTCCTGACTACTACAAATCACATTTTAAAGTATCTTGTTTGCGTATGAATGTGTGTTTGAAATTACCCCTGAAAAAAGCAGCAATTACAAATAAACTCATTATTTTGCAAAAAGAAAATAAAGCATATCCCGGGTGCTTTTTCCTGTTCATCTCTTCACAGGAATCAGCAGGAAGAGGCACAGGGAGCCTTGGTTTCCAGAGAGCGGTGACCAAGTAAGTCTGCTCTGGAATTCACAGTTTGTCTGCATAAACTGTAATATATCCTACCATAAATCAAAGTTCACCTTCAGAAAGTAAGAGCCACTCAGCAGTAACTTTAACAATTGGGATTCCACAGAAGCCCTTAACTTCTCTGTACATTCTTTCAGGAGTGAATCCTTTCCCAGTTTCAAGTATCCCCTTCTACCTCTCACTCTGTAATGAGTTAAGAAAGGGAAAAAAAGAACCCCCAAAAAATAAACAAAGACCTCCCCATTTTTTATGTTTGTGAGCCCAGTGGCCACAGTGTTATTCCTCCTCCACCCTCTGGGCAATCAAGAAATAAAAAGGCTGGGCAGATGAATGCAATCCTGAGGTCTCCTTTCCTTCCGGTGAGTGCTCAAGTATCACCCTCAACTTGGTGACAATTCTTCTGAACTCAAGTGTACCGAGGCATCTCACACTGCTCACAGCGATTCAGTGCAGGGTGGTTGAGAAAGGTACAGCTGTCACAATTCCATGGAGCCCCTTCATAATCCTCATCTCGGGGTTGTGCCCGACGACTCTGTTTGCAGCCACTTATATGTTCTGAGGAAAGGGGATTCAAGAGAAATGAAGCTACATCAAGCTGTTTTCTCAAGCATCACCCAGACTGACCAAAATTGAAAAGAAGAACTACCACAAAAACAAAAGGGAAGAACTTGTTACCTTACCCAATGTGTAATCTAATTACTAACCATAATATGGAAAACCATAACTGCACAGAAAGCTGGATACATGTTTCACTTTGTTCTAAACACACTGATTTTTACACTTTTAGATAAAGATGGGGAGCAGCCCAGAAAAGACAGCCTTCCTAGTTTGCTAGCCACAAATTAAGCTGTGTTCTAGCTGAATGAAAGGAGAGAGAGAGAGAGAGAACTATTTGCCAGCATACTCGTTGAACACTGTCTTCTCTAGTGACTTTCTTGTCTACAAGTATTGCCCATAGAATAGTAAATGGCTAACAAAATAGATACCTTATTCCATGAGACATTTGCTACCAGGAAGACACATGTTTTATATTTACTGCTTCATCAATGGCAGGTGTAATTCCTAACAAAATTGTTCCCAAAATAGTGAAAAGGGAACAAGACTTTACAGCTATTTATAAAACTAAAATTCATTCCATATACGTAAGTATTTTGTTCTCAGAATCATTCCTCTTGGCCAAAAAAGTCATTCATATATTACTCTTTGAAAAATGTCTATACCTGACAATATCAAATGACAGCAACTTTAGTTTGATCTTTGGGATTTCATAAAAGCCCAAAACTTGTATTCCTGTTAAGTCTTAATTTTCTTTGGTCTTAGGCTCAAAAGAGCTGTGCTCATAGAGTTCATGTGGCAATTCTGCCTTGTGGGAAGATTCCCTATTGAGGAGGAGGGTCATTGGATAGAAAGCCCAGGGCTGATGGATTAGCCCTAGGAGTTGAAGGCAAGGTAAGGAGGCAGAGAACCCACCAAGAAAACACTGGTAACCCTTCCTATTAAGTGGCAATGAAATCAAGATTTAAGGTAATACTTAATATCTATTTAGAAAGGCCAGAGAATGGAGATTTGGTGAGGCTTTGGCAGTTTTGGGCTAAGCCTATTTTTCACTGAAAAACATCTAGGTAACTTCCAGTTTATCAAATTATCTATCTTTTGTGACTCTATGAGGTCAAATAAACAGGTTTAAACTCTGAACTTTTTTCTATGAGGGGAACTCCAAGCCTTCATCAGAAAGGGGATCTTTTGTTAGGATAAATCCACTGGTCTCCTCAGCCTATTCCTGTGACCAGAAACAGGAGCTGAACATGTTTCAGTTGCCACCTTCAGCTGCCTCACTATGAATAAACTACTGCCATAGAATGTTTTATATACAGGCTCTAAAATTCCCAAATTTACCTTTAGGACAGGTGACTTTTAGATCCCACAAATATCACGGAGTGAAAAAGGTTAACAAATCAAATTCTTAGCTGTTAATATTCTGTTTATGTCATTCCCGACTTTGATTGTGAGCCTAGCCTTTAACAGCTGTGCCATCTCTCCAGCCTTTGAAAATAGTTTTCAAAAATATGTAAACAACCAAAAGGCCCCAGTCTATCTTACCTTTTTAGTAGCATGTTGACTTAATTTGAAATTATGAATCACTAAGAGGTAACTGAGCAAAACAAGTTATTTTTGGTTCTAAAACCTATACAACTCATATAAAAGAGAAGTTGTAGTCTAGAATGGTTAATTTGATTTACATGTATAATCATCATTATGGTGTATTTAAAAGCAGTTTGTAGACTACCTTATAGAAAATATTTATAAAAATATTTATAATCAAAGGACATATAGAAGCCAGGTGGTAGTGGTGGCATGCATCTTTAATCCCAGCACTCAGAAGGCAGAGGCAGAGGGATCTCTGTGAGTTTGAGGACAGCCTGGTCTACAAATCTTGTTCTAGAACAGCCAGATCTGTTACACCGAGAAACTCTATCTTGAAAAAAAAAAAGGGAAAAAGAAAGTAAACAGGAAGTGTTTATATGGTAAATGAAAAAGTTACTTTTTCCTAACATATCCTAATGGTAAAGGAAAAAATATATAAGGTATTTTCATTATATCTTGCTTCTTCTTGCAATGTTACCTTTTCATTTGCAAATTAAGGCTGATTTAGCATATATCATGTAGAATATGTAAGTATTCCAATACAAACACAATATTTTAGAGACCTGTTTTCAATAGGATAACAGCATATAAAGCTGAAGAATCATTAGGCATTTGTGTGAAAATCTTATCAAACCTAGAACTTTCAAGTCATTTCAAAATTATTTTGCCTTGCTTTCTATATATGATTACTAGAGAGCTGGCCTGTCCAATAAGGTGTTCATATGTGGTTACATATGTGAACATGTGAAATGTGGCCAGTCCAAATTGAGATGTACATATAAAACATGCATAAATTAAGAAAAAGTATCTTTTAAAACCATTTTTAGCAAGCACTAAGGATCTATTATGACATTTAGCATTACACATTTGAACTATAATTTTCAAAGGTAAATCTAAAGGCATGTTCTAGTTATGATAACTTGTATAGGATACCCAGAGACACAGGTACAAACCATCTGCAGCTGCTGCATAGGATTCATGAACATCTGCCTGTACTTTGGAAGTCACGCTAATTCTTCGGGCTTTTCTCTCAATTGTGCAGGGGTCTGAAGAGTCTGCATAAGAAAAAGCAAAGGTACTGAGAGGGGATGAAATTCTTCAGCAAGAGGGAATGGGTTCAGAAGGATTGCTCTGCTACCCACTGCATTGAGGGAACTACCTTTCCTATTGCTTCACATTACCTTTCATTTGTGGAGGTTAAATGTTAAACATAATGCTTCTTAACAAGCTATGCAGAACATATGTCCCAAGTAATAACTGCTGATGGATGGAAAAAATGTATTTAGAGTAAAATCTCAGCAACAGCAACTATATGGAAATGTGAAAGCAAATTGTACTTTAGCAATCCTTTGATTTAGCCACTCAGAAAAAAATATTGTCTGAATACAAACTATGTTAAGGCTATGTTATGTGGGTTATGTGGGAACCTGTCTCAAAAGCCCCTGCCCAAAAAATAAATAAAAAAGGAGGAAGAAGGAGGAAGGAGGCAGAGGAAAAGGAGGAATAAAAAGGAGAAGATGATGACCACAAATACAATGGCAGTAGTATATTCTTCTAATATAAGCATTTGGGAGACAAAGACCAGACTGGAATGCATAGAAAATGTTAATAATTGAAAAATGGAAGCAACTCAAAAATAATACTATGTACTGAAAACATGGGCTCCCAAGTCATGTCAGGATTTTCAATTTCATGCTAGGATACTGCTCTCATATGTTATGAATTTACAGGTTATTAGTAGGCAACCTTTGTATTATGTCAACTACCACACTATATATTATTTGTCTTTAAGAGCAAAAAAAAAAAAAAAAAAAAAACAAAAACAAAAAAAGAACAAAAAGCAAACAAACAAACAAACAAAAAAAAACCCTTGCACTTCTGATCCCTTATGTAATCCCTCAGTACTACCCACCTTTGGAATGGTGGTTATGCACTAAAAGCCTGAACTCTATTAACAGAGTAAGAGAAGAGTAAATGTTCCCTTAGGCTGCAAAGGAAACAGTGAGCTCTGTCTTAGATTTGGAAAGTTCTTTTACAACATCACCTGCCTTCATTTCACCAACTGACACAAACTTTTTGGAAAATACGCAGGTCAGTATTTGAATGGATTATCTCTCTGTGGTACACAGATTAAATCTGAATGTAGTCAGCAGGCCACTGCTCAGGTATTATGACACCCGGGTCATTCATTTTTTCTTGCAATGAGGGTACAGAGCGATTTGCTGAGTTACCTGAAGAGTTACATCACTTAACTGCAGATGCCATTCCCAAAAGGTTTCTGTTGGCCCATTTTCTCTGGCACTGCCATTACTCAGATACTCTTATAGTCTACTTAGATTTCCAGCATATATCTAATTATTAGCAGTTTAGTGTTTTGTTTTCAATCAAATGGTACTACAAGCCAATCTGAACTAACTTTAGAAGTCTTTTAGGAACATTATGCTGGGTGTGGTGGTGCACAACTATAAAACTAATAGCTAGCATATAGTTTATGAGACCATTTTAAAAAGGGAAAAAATTGCTTAACAAAAAAACAGACTGATTTCATTTCAAACACTGAAAAGCTTTTCATAAATCTGTAATCAAAAGTAAATTCATTTGGCAAATAGTAATAATACCATTTAACTTTCACCAACCATAGGTTAACTTTTTAAAGTAGAAATTCATTAATAAGGATACAAAGGATTTTACATGTAGGGTATAAATTCCTTGGGATAGAAATTATATCTTTATAGGATCACATATATGTCTATATAATCATGTACCAACTGTGCATTCCATACATATTTAAGAAATTAATTAAAATTAGACCCATTACAACTATAAAAATTATCCAAACAGGGTTGGTAGGTTTCATTTGCACTAAATGAGCCATGGAGCATTTGTAAGTTTTCTTTCGTAGAAATGTGCATATAACGTCTTTATGAATAAGGTTTTGGAATCAGGCTCTGTGTTCTTCATTTCAAAAGATGAAATCTGCCAGGTGATGGTGGCATACGCCTTTAATCCCAGCACTCAGGAGGCAGAGGCAGAAGCAGAGGCAAGTGGATCTCTGAGTTTGAGGCCAGCTTGGTCTATAGAGTAAATTCCAGGACAGCCAAGGCAACACAGAGAAACCCTGTCTGGAAAAGCAAACAACAACAACAACAACAAAAGAGATGAAACCTAACAAAGAACTCTAAGATAAATTAGTTTTGGATGTAATATGATGATAGGTCCACCAATTTTAAAAAATAGATTATTTTGCTGGAGAGTGTTTGCTGGTGGTGGGGGTGCAATAAATGTGGAAGGGTTAGGAAACAAATGGGAAGCAGTCTTTTCTTATTTTTTTTAATGTTTAACATTGTTAAATATACTGGAAGAATTATGTTTAAATATAGGATCAGTTTCACTTTATACATAGAGCTATTAATACTTCCTATTTCACCTATTAATTTTCAGAAATTGGGCCTTTATAATCTATATACCTTTTTCCAAGAAATGTGTTCATCTAGTTGCAGAGTTTATTGGATTTAAGATATTAATCACATTCCCTCATTACCATTTCTAGAGGATAGACCATCTTTTATTTCTAGTTGTGTTATCTTGCATTTTTTTCCCCACTTTGTAGCTTTGGCTACCTTGAAGTTTATGGATTTTGCTTTGTTTTTCTCTACTTTGTTATAAAATTCCATGATCAAAAAACAAACATCAAATTTCCTTCAAAGTACTTAACAACTGAGGGTCAGAGAGACTCGGTTATGAGGTTCTTCTTAGTATATCTAAAGCCCTGACTCATGTCTAGCACCCAGACAATAGTTCATTGTCCTTGCACAGGGAAAGGTATGGCTTTAGATCTAGCTTCTTGGAGATGATGCTATTGAAGAAATTTCAAGGTTTTAAATGTGTTGGACTGCTAGTATTTTTGGTCATTTCTTCTATGACAACCACTGAATCACTTAACTATAATTCATCTGCTAGGCTATCTATAAAAGAGATAACACTTTAGAAGGTACTGAGGCAAAATCATGTTTAAAACCTAAAAGGCTACAGTGATTAATGATATATAACCCAAAGGCTTTCAACTTGAATCTACATATAATGTTGCCACAATGACACACTTAGTATTAGGCAGTCATCCACCAATATTCGTTTTGAGCCATTTTTAGAAATCACTGTACTATTTCAAATGTAGATCAGAAAAAAAAAAAAACATCAACAGTGGTAGAAAACAACAGAGACCAGCTCCTAAGCTGTAATTCATAAATGAACTAGAATTTATGTACTCTCCACTATTCAATATGTCTTCATAAAAAAACTGTCTTGAACTGCTTAATGTAAGAGGATTAAAACATAAACTTTGAATATTAATTGTATAGAGACTTACAAAACAATACGGCCTGTAAGAATAGGGTAGAAAATGACTGATCAACCTACTTTCAGTCACCTATTTTAAGATACTGAAAACAATTTGGGGCTTGTTTAGTTCTTGAGAAAATACTCATGTCCCTATCTGTTAGTCTTACCTTCTGTTTATCGTGCAGCAAAAAAATTCTCATATACAAAGACTACTGAAAAATGCTAAAGATATCACCATCATGTCTTACAACAATTCTAACATTTGTTTTACTGTTTTGTAAAAAAAAAAAAGTTTGGGAAATATTTCATTATTGCTATTGCCACATTAATATGGATAACATTTTGATGAGGAACAACATCTAATGAGTAGTTTTAATAGAAATTTCTTCAGAAACTTAAATAACTTCTATTTGTGCTATGACCCTACTCACCCTTTTTAGATGGCTTTGGTGGGACAACTGGGCCAGGTTCTATGTTGTCATAAAAATTATTCAAGGCTTTTGGATCAAAATTTCCTACAAAGAAAAGAAGAAAACCACAGGTATTTAGTTGTTCTTTTATTATTTGATCTTTTTAAAAAACATCAATGAAACATGTGGGAAGAGAAAATGTTTTCTAATGTTTCAAATACACTACTCTATAATTTTTACTCTGTGGTTATGAGAAGATAAACAAGCAGACCAGTAAGCCTGTGTGGGTCTACAATGCATTAACTAAAGGAATATTTTTATAAGGCTAGCACCCTTAAGCAGCAATTCAGTACATGGGACATTTGAAGAAGGTAAAGCAAGAAGAAAAATAATCTAAGAATGGTGGACATGTTTGGTCTAATGAAAAAAAAACAATATGAAAGAAGATTTTCGTAATTTATCATAAAGTCATCTAAGGAAAAAGCCAAGTGTATATGTTACATAACCCTCTGAGCTTATTAATGATGATGTGCAAATTTTAGAGTGAACAAGCCCCAAGAATTGTTAACAAATATTTTTCTCTGGATATGGTCACTCACTGGCTTCATATCTCTATATCAGTGACTTACCCTATTGTGATTACTTCAAGGTTAGATTGCATTAGGTTTTGGTTCTCACCTTCACTCCTGTACTTTGCCTACTGTACCCAAATCCATGTAAGTTTGGATACAGTGGAGGTTGTACTGTACAGAGTCTCCCTGTTTTTGAGTATTGATTTTTTTTTAACCAATGAAAATTTTTCTTATTATAAAACAAATATTAAGCTGCTTTTTACCAAGTCATGCAATGATTTATTTGCATCTACTTGAAATGCACATCTCCACTGTCAAAAACAATTTAGAATAAATCATTCCATATTTGGACCCCTGAGACATTTCTAAAACTTAAGTCCAAAAAAAGACCTCATTTGATCAATACATACCAAAACCAGAGCTCCTTCCTTAATACTCCTTAATTAATAGGTCCTACTATCAAAGTTTCACCCAATTGAATAGGCTACTTTAAAGACTTTTTTTCTTTAAAGTTCCTATAGCTCATGAAAACCACAATGCTATTTGATATATTAACTGCAGCAAATGCATTCCTTCAATCACTGAAGTTACAGATGATGTTCTAATATGCAGTTCACTGAAAACTTACTATAAACATGCTAATCAAATGGTATTGATTTGTTTTGTTTCAAAGACTACATCAGTTTAAAAAAAAGTTGATGTAATCACATAATAGCAATGGCTGATAGACTCTGCATATTGTACATAGTGATTCTTTCACTACTTCAAGCTAGTAGGCTACATAAAGTAATGAGAACCTGGTCTGATAGCTCAACTTTCATGTTCAGATGGCTCTATATCTATATTTCAACTTTTTGACACTGTATTATACACTACTCTTAAAGTGCTATAGAAGCTCTCTTAGCTGCCATAATTTGATTCAAACAAAAGGTTGTTAAGAAAAACTACACATCACCTTTAATGTAACATAAATATAGCAGGGTTTTCTTTTATTCTTCGTGTGGAAGTGTTGAGAATTAAAATCCCCAGGGATTGTATACATTATGCAAACATTCTATCACCGAATCCTATCCTCAATACAGCAGTATTTTAATGCAGAACAAGGACTACTTCATATTGTCTTACATAAACCATGTTCATGATAACCTAAAGCCAAGTGTTCACAAGCCATCTATCAAAAACCAGATAGCATCTTAGATTTTGTAGACTTGCAATACAATTGGTTACAAGTATTCAACTCTGTCCTTGAAACACAAAGACACTAGGTGAACAAATGGGCATGTCTGCTACACTAAAATTTCTATTTATAAAAACAGGCAGTAGAGTCCCAATTGGCTGAACCTTGATTTATAATTTTGTGTTTTGGTTTCTTCAGAATGCAGCACACTAAGGATACTTCTTTACAAATTCTTCCCTTTTCCACTCAAATCTAATTCATGGTTCCTGTAATTTTATGCTTGACTCTATATAAAAGCCAAAGATAAATTTTAAAAGAGAAGCATTCTCATGAATTCCTGTTAGTTATGAAACATTAATTTTAACTGCAGGAGTATAGCTAACTAGTATAAGCACTATATGTAATGAATGGGAGATGCAGTATAAAGGAAGGAAAGTCCTCTAATCTGATGAGCTGGCTAACTGAAAGAAAAGAGCTTCTACTGCAACAGAACTGCTTTTAAAACCAAGAATTCAGATATTCTACTTTGAGCTCTCTTTTTTGTCACAATATTTTGGAAGACTATCACATAATATAAATTATATCTTAGAAATAATAGCCATCAATTTATAAAATACTCATCTTAAATGACTAAGTAGATTAATGCAATATAACAGAATAAACCAATGAGAATAAACAATGAAGCTGCCAAAGTAATATTATTTTTTGACCCTGATCCATGGAGTGTGGGGATCTCTTTAAAGTCATTCTTATAGTGGATAAAACCTGTCCTTACATCTATGAAACTGAAATTATTGCCATTTAAGCATACCATATGGTTTACCAAATAATCAAGTCTATACCTCTAGATTGAAGGAGGTCAACTTCTTTCAGTGTACAGTCAACATTTATCTGGAGTTGTCTGTTCATGCTTCTCAATCTTGTCATTTCCTCAGGCTAGTAAGAAAGCACCCAAAATAGCAATTGTGGGAAAGTCATTATCAAGCCCAACATTTAAGAACTGTGTTTCACGTTAATTAATCTGCTTGGGTATTAGAGCATGTCTATGTATACCGAGGACATAAACATGGCCACAAAGTAACAAAAATTGTATGTAGTGGCCAGGTACAAACTACACTATGTTCTATCATACAAGCTACAATCACTGTAATAATAGAGCACAGCAAATATTTATGTTTTTGTAGTAAGGGAAAGTGCAACAAACAACCTTTAAAATTAGCAACATTCATGATTTTAGTCTTGTCTAACCTGATAAAATTCAGTGCTTCCTTAGCTCCAGGTACTTGGTTTACCATAATTCTCCCATTCCTTCTGCTAAAAGGAGCTTTGATGTAGGTAGTGTTACATTACATGGAATTACTAATGATAAAACAGCAGAGAGTGGTTAACTTTCCCCAAAGCATAAAGCTAGTAACTGGTAGAGCCAGGACTTACACAAACTATACACATAAACACACACACACACACACACACACACACACACACACACACCCATATATACGTGTGTGTGCAAAAATGCTTTTTTTTTTTCTAGATCAACATAAAAACTCTTTAACACAGAGAAATAAACAGGTGCTAGTGGGCTCCACTGTTTCTTCTGCTTTTTTGCCTGTCCAGCCCATTCTACCTACCCCTTAGGGTCTTTCAGTCACTGAAACATCAACTTTTTGCCTTCAATTCCTATACAATTCTTAATTTCTTTACAATTTCTGTGCTTGTACTCCAATGGCATGGATATTGAAGCTTTTTCCACAAAGCCCAGGTATTAGCTCAATTACTAGGGTAATTTCAATTGCATAAAGTAGAATGTTAAATTATTTACTATCTGAGAGAAAGAGAGAGAGGAGGAAAGGGAGAAAGACAGAGAGAAATAAATTTATTGTTAAAAATGTGTATTTTGCCAAAGACTGACAGGTTAACAGTGCACTACTAAAGAGCACATAGTATACTGTATGCTGTTGGGAGATTGCAGCAGAGTAAGTGGGAATGCCCAGAAACTACCAGGGACCAATGCAGTGATGTAAAGAGGCTTAAGAACAACTTCTGGATATTGAATGCTAATTTTACATGTTTTATGCCCACTTATCCCATGGCCTTATGACTATCATGATTTAGTCTCAATTATTTTGAAGTATAAATATCAAATTTCATTTTGTCTTAAAAAGAAAAAAAAAAAAAAAGATCTAATCCCTCAGAATGCTAGAGATCCAACAACAAAAAGCACCTGGAAACATTTAGTATGAATTGTTCTTCTTTCTTCATTCTAACAGGCAAAGTGTGTGATGTTGATATTAAATGTTTATGCCAAGCAATATTAAAACATGTCCAAATAAAAAATTATATGCTCTTTTGAAGAGGTAGTAGAATCTCTTAAGTCAACTGACTTGGAATCTAAAAACGAGTCTCAAAGACACCAATATTGAAGATCACTGGTGTTTATTGGTTCCTTGGCTCCAACTATGTAACAGTGGAGTAGCCTCAAAATTCAATTAGAATAGGATCAATCTGGATAAATGACTTGGGGAAGGGACAACTGGTTGCTCTCTCCATATTAAAATCGTATTTATTTTTCAAGGTAAAATTTAATACTCTGCCTCCTCTATTACTATTATTAGCAAAAGGTTAACATTTCTTTCTCACATGCATATCTTTGAGAGATGACATATTATGGACCATTTAATAAAATGTAATAAAACAGCAAGCTAAAGGAAAAGGATATCCTCGGGACACTTCTGCTATCATTTGAAAAACATTATTTCACTGGTACTCAAATTTTCTACAACTATACATATAGCTGGTCAGAATTGCACTCTGGATTCTCATTAAACAAGCATTTCTATCCTATTTTTAATGCACAAATTAGAAAGAAATAGCTTGGAAACCCAAAAGTTACAATGTGTGCATATTAGCAAAGTGTCAGTTTTCTGGTATTCCTATACACAAGTGTGGTGACCATAAAGGCAGCTACTTGCTGCGTACTTAATGGCACCCAAGGCATATGCTACATACACTGTCTCCTTATGTGGACCATATTATACTTATAGAAATACATAAAAGTGTTATACTTACAATAACTCCCTTTAATGAGAAGTCATATAAATATAGCCAGTAAGTGCCAGAGGTATTTTGATTCCCAATTCCATGTGGGCATTACTTCAAATGAGACTCAATCAGCTCAACGAATAACTGGAAACTCTAACTAAATGATTTGTTTCTTGATTCCTTTTCCTACATAACTTATCTTATTGCTATATTAAAAGAAAATTGGTTTAATAAAATGCTTCAGATTTGTGAATCAATTTCAAGCAAAACTTTTTAGCATTTTGTTACCAAGCTAATTTATAAAGACATTTGCTATATGTTGGACATTGTATAAATTGCTTAACATAACTTTACATAGTTTTAAAGAAATTTCCATAACATAGGTATCTTACTATATATATTTTGGGAATGAGAAAATAAGCACAGTTGTCACTAATCCAGAGGTATGTGACTGACCCAAGTAGTGGAATATTCAAATTTGCACTTGAAAATTCACTTGCTGTCTTAGCCTTCATGTACACATTAACTACTCAGCCATGTCCTACTGTCTTGCAACTTAAGTGTGCTGTTGAAATACAAGGCACTGAGAACTATAATTTCTGTAGGTGAGGAATGCTACATTTCAGCTATTCAACTACTTTGCCTATTTTTAAGTTTTAAATTATAAACCATAAACTACAGCCCAGGGAGGGTCTACCAATTTTTCCCTTCTAAAAAAAAAAAAAATTGACCCATCAATTTAAAAAAACCCAATATAAAATGTGGATGTTTTTATTTGAAGCTGTAATTTAATGCAATGCCTAACAATTTTCTACTGAACTGAGTAGAAGAAGTCATTAGGTTATGCTTCTTTCTCAAGAATCTTCTTCCTCAAAAAGCTTCTACTGGTTCGCTCTTTACAGCAGAATAAAGTTCAAGCACCTTGACTCAGTGTTCAAGGTCTCCACTCCACTTTACCTTTCTACACATTAACTTCTGTAAACCTGTTAGAAATTTCAGGCTTAAGCAAGGAAACTTAACTGATTGTGTCTTGAAAGTCAGATTGTCTTGACTTCAAGCCTTAATTACCTTATATTCTTTTCCCTTCAAAAGTAACTTCCCCTTTCCTCTCTGTCTATATAATGCTGGGCAAACTCTCCAAGAAAGCAGCTGCAGCCATCCTGAGGACAAGAAGCCTCACATATATGTTCAAGAGACAGATTACTTCAGGTTTAGAGATGGGAAGAAAATGAATACTCTTGAAGACAGAAAGGACTCACACACATGAAGCTTTGGAAGATCATCCAAGGATAATGTAAGAAAGTGGAGATGTACACTGATTATATTCATAAACCAGTTAATGTACAATTACCTTCATTATCTATGAGCAAATACAGCAATTACCACTGAAGTCTACTTCTTTTCATTCGAAGATTAATTACTAAGCACCTAACATTGAACCATATTCATTAACACATACAGAATACATGAATATTGAATGGTAAAAAGATCAACTGAATCACAAAAATAAAGGTAACATGACAAAGTTATGTGACATCATTAGAACTCAAATACATTAAGCAACAGACTAAAAATACAAAAAGTTCTTTACCAATTTCCTTAAGAGCATTAATGGTCCACACTGAACATGTCAGTTTCTACAGTTACACACAATGAAACTACCACATCTTAAGATGATCTATCACCTATACTTTCTAAAAAAATTCAAATTTAGTATTTAACTTCCTTAAACTCACTTGAAACACTTAGAAAAATATACAGCCTATACTTGGAAGAGTAATTTGTGAAACCTTTTGTTATCATATACTCTTGCAATAAATTCTATACTCTAATTATAACTGTCAGTCTTTGAAAATAATCGTGAGCAAATCCAAGTGTGGAAAAGCATTTAATTATTCTGACAAGAAGTGTTGGGGGGGCAAATCTCTTGCATTCACTCACTTTGTTGTTGTTGTTGTTTTTTAAATTCAGCCAGGAATAGAACTTTAAAGAAAAACAAATGGCTCAGACAGAAAATGTCCCTATCTTTGTATCACTACATATTGTAAGAGATCACTTACCGTGGGAATTGCAGTGGTACAACTGACCCTTCTGAGTCGTCTCTGCATCAGATCATGCTCCATACTGTTGACTTCAGCCTTCAATCGCTCTAGCTCTTCCTTTTCAAGTTTCAATTGCTTTGCTAACCTCTCCATCCTTGCTCGCTGATGTAACAGCAAGGCTATATAGCATTACAGATAAAGTCATTGCAGAAAATAACACCAAACAAGTAACAGGATAATTTCTAAATACACTGATAATGGACAGAAGACTCATCTGACCTGAGCATCAGCATTTACTCTTAAGATCTTAGTAAGACTGTGCTATATTGATTTCTGCTTTAATTTAGCTCTAAGCTACCACCAAAAAAATGGTATCATCTGTTCATACCTCATGTTATGTCACATTTCATTTTCCTGAAATCTTCTTATTCTATAATTGTGTTTGTGTTAAAATGCTTAAGGACCATTGAAATGGCTAAGCAGGTAAATGCACTTTAATGCAGGCCTGAGTTTCATCTCCAGATTCCACAAGGTGGCAGGAGAGAACTGACTGCTAAGAATGTCCTCTGACCTCCACACACAAATAAACAAATACAAGGCTTAACATCAAGCATTCTGAACCACAATTATAATGAGTTCCCTTCTCAAATATTGAAAGAATACTAAATTCTCATACATTCTGTTACAATCTGAGAGTCTGAATAGAGTTTTTCAACTTCAATTTCCCAGACAATACAAATTTTCTTCACTAATTCCACTTCTTATAGTATCACTTATAAATATAATTATGCCCTTCCAATTTTGTTTAGAAGACTCTTTTTTTTGGATCTGACAAACCATAGTCATCCAAGCTATATCTTTTTCACAATATTCATTGTATTTGTCTACATTTTTCCCAATGAATGATATCCCCCAATAAAGTCTTATTACGTTACATGGTTTCAATGATCTTACTTGCAGTTTCATATTTTAAAACAGCCAATAGATGACTCTGAAACAGTAATCTTCCTCTAGATAATACTACTAATAAACATTCAATTTATACTAAGTATTCAATTGAAAGTAAATAGCTAATAGTGTTTTATTTTTTAATTGATCACCACATATTGACTACAAACATTAAATTTCATCATTTGAAAGTTTACCTTGTGTATAGGCATAGTCATCTGATCCAGAACTAGAACTCCTCTGATACTTGTGGTTTCCCTTTTCTCCCCCAGAGCCTGGTATCACTGAAATGGGCTGAATAGGTTCTGGTGCTGCAGAGCGTTCTTCTTGGTCCACTAAATTTAAAAGGTTTTCAGTCGTTGCTCGACCGACAGTAATTTTAAAAACTGTAGTTGGGTTTGGCATCACCCGAGGAGATGCTGATGGAGCACATGAAGGTCCAGTTGGCTGTGTATAAGTAATATACACAGGATTAACACTAAACGGAGGTTTTGGTTGACTAGATATCCCTCTTGAAGGAGAACTTGAAGGTGGTGTGGTGGCTGAATACAGTGAGTGCTGGTTCCTTGGAGATGGTTGATTACTAATGGGTGAAGGACTCCTAGTTATTGCTGTCCCAGGTCTTTGAGAAGGTTCAACTGTAATTTCTATCTTCTTCATGGAACCTTTAGGTAAGCTAGATGCTGGGTAAGGGAGATAGGCTACTGAATGACTCCCCTGTTTCTGATAAGTAGGAGGTCCTTGTTGATATAGGTGGGGTGGAGTAGTTGAAGGACTAGGTGGCATAAACACATGAGAGCCTGGATGGCCCAGCTGGGAAGGTTGTACTTGATGCTGTGGAGAGCTAAAGGGTGAAGGACACTGAGAAGGGGGTGGTGAATGGTAAGCTGACTGAGGAATCTGCTGTTGTTTGGGAGAATACTGAGAAGGTTGATAGTTCTGTTGATGTGGATAAACAGGTAAAGGACGTTGGCTGTAATGAGGCACTGGGCCTTGTGTTGAGGACTGCCATGGAGCATTCTGAGGAGTCTGTCTTCCTGATGAACTCTGAGATGTCTGTCTAATATAAATAGAACCAGGAGATCCATAGAGATTGCTTGGAATTTGTGGAAGAATCTGTAAAGCTCTTGGTACAGTCTGTCCAGAAGGGAGGTTTTGGGACACTGTAACAGTAATTGGATTTGTACTATACCGAGGTATGTGCATGTAGGATGGAGGTGGCGGTGGGGAAGGTCCTTGCATAGCAGATGGATTCATTCCCGTTTGCATGGAAGATGGCTGCTGAGGTGGCTGTGAAGGAGGAGTAGCTGCACTTCTGTTCTGTTCATTCATAAAAAATGGATTATAGTTGGGAGTAGCAGCCACAACAGCTGGAGCTGAGTGTGGTTCCTGAACTAAACATATCAGCTGTTTACCTGCTGTATGCTGAGGATCAATATGTCCATCGCTTGAGCTATGCACCAGTGTTCGACCACCATTAAGGTGGGCTCCATCTCCTGGATGGTAGCTACTAGGAGAATGGATACCCAAGTTAATATGCAAAAGGCGATTTCTATTCATTCTATTGTCTTCTGGACTATGGTATTCCATATACAAGTATTTGCTGCTCTCCTGGGACAGGGCTCGGCAACAGGCTTCTAGATTGTTGTTATTCTATGGGAGAAAAGGGTACACACAACATTGGCAAAATTAGTAAAGCATAAGAGTGGAAGTCAGTTCTACAAGTACTGTCATACAATAAGTCCAGAGGAGTATTTTAATTATAAAAACTGTTACAGTCATCTGGCCTCCACAAGGAATCTTAAACAATTAAAATTATAAGCATTTAGCCCACATTACTAGTACTACCACTACTACTACAGAAACATAAAGCACCTACTAATGAACATTGTGACTCAACCCCAAGTTTTCTCATTCCAAATGCAGGACTCATTTTATACTTGTTGCAGCTCAACAACTTAAAATGTGCTACTCTTGGGTTCATCACAATTGCTGTAACATCCATCATTAATGTTTAACCTGATAAAAATGAAAATAATCATCCTTTAGTTTTCAAAGAGCACCAGAACCATAAAATGAAAAAAAATAATATTTCTGAAAATTTTAAACAATAAAAATGCCACAGCCTTTACTTTTCTTTTATCCAAATTTATTCCCAAGTACCCTTAACCTGTATCATTAGGAAAGATTTAAGCAAACTAAGTAAAATGAGCAACAAGCAAAATCCTATAGTTTGACCCATGCCTTCATGATTTTGACAGAATTAATGAGAATTTAACCATATCCAGATAGTCTTAATAAAATTCACTATACAAAGTTTGTACCAACTGAACATCAGTTTAATATACTTGGAATAGCTTTTTAGTTATGCATAAATAATAACTGTCCTTTAGAAGTTCCAGTAGACAGTAATCAAATGCTTACTTTAAACCTTTTAAAAGATATTGTAGTTTCCATTAAAATACAGAACGCTCAACTATTTTATTAAAGTAAAACACATATTCACCACCCTTTCAAATAATTTAAAAAATTCCTAATGGCCATAATTTTCTCTGTAACTCAAACATACATGTTATTATACATAAGTGCATTTTACATAAAATAAAAGGAAATACTTTACTTCTTCAGAAAATCAAATAAAACATTAAGTCTACCACAGGACACGCACTGTAGTGATGGTAGTGTTGAGACAAATTTAGAGTTCATCTACAGCCTTACATACATTTTCAGATGCAGAAAAGAAGACTGGGAAGTGCCTTGGTTTCTTAAAAGGCACCTAACTAGTTAACTGTACAACCACTTCTAGCTTCCTGGTCTCAATTTCCAGTGCTCTTTTTACCTAGCAATTTCAAATAAAGGATATATGGCTAAAAGACATTACTAACTTGGAGCTTTAAGAGCTTAATGAAACAATAAACCCATAGTCAAGCAAATATTTACAAAATAAAAGCTAAGGAATTTAAAGAATTTACTTCATGAAAAAAAACAGATTAATTTTATTTTCCTTATACAAAGTACTTGAAAAGTACTACAGAAAGAAGTACTAATTGACGTTTAGGAATAATTGGAATGCAAAATTTGTTTTCTTGTCATGATTGAAAATCACACTGAGTAAGAGTGAGATGCTATCTATTAAAGGGCTGGAAAGATGGCTCAGCATTTAGAACACTGGTTGCTCTTCTAGAGGAAGACCTGGTTTCAATTCCCAGAATTCTCATGATAGCTACCAACAATCTAACTCCTGTCCCAAGGATTCAATGCCTTCTTCTGGCCTTCTTGGACACCAGGCATGCACGTGGTGCAGATACACATATAGGAAAATTCTCATAAAGATAAAATAATTTAAAAATAAAAAAGCACATCTGGATCCAAAGGATTCAGATGACTACCAACAGAATGTGTCAGTGACCAATACTGGAAAGAAAAATATATGAAAAATAAATTTTCTCAAATGTCTGAGGTTAGGGGAAAACATACTATTTGTATTTTTGTAAACACAGTATTTGGTATTTTTATGAATAACCTGAAACCTATGTTTTACATAACAAATCTGGAAGCCTACTAGTAATCTTTCAAAAAGGATCCTAATTCAAACACTAAAAAGTTACACAATAGAGGGAGCAATTACAGGTTTAAAGAGAAATCTTGCACTCGGGAACTGACCAGAGACCTAAAAGAATGACCACATCTGACAATCTAAGCAATAGTGGAGAGGCTACCTTAAATGCCCTTCCCGGATAATGAGATTGATGACTACCTTATACGCCATCCTAGAGCCTTCATCCAGTAGCTGATGGAAACAGAAGCAGACACCCACAGTTAAACACTGAGCTGAACTGGAATCCAGTTACAGAGAGGGAGAAGTGATGAGCAAAGGGGTCAAGACCAGGCTAGAGAAACCCACAGAAACAGCTGACCTAAACAAAGGGGAGCTCATGCACCCTAGACTGATAACTGGAAAACCAGCATTGGACCGACCCAGACCCCCTGAACATGGGTGTCAGTTAAGAGGCCTGCGCAATCTCTGGGGCCTCTGATAGTGGATCGATATTTATCCCTAGTATACAAATGGACTTTGGGAGCCCAATCCACACAGAGGGATACTCTCTCAGCGTAGGGGGGAGGGCCTAGGCCCTGCTCCAAATGATACAACAGGCTTTGAAAATCCCCTATGGAAGGCCTTACCCTCTCTGGGGAGCAGAAAAGGGACAGGATATGAGTTTGATGAGTTTGATGGGGGGCAGGGGAGGAGGGAGGGAGAGAGAACTGTGATTGGCATGTAAAAAAAAACTTGCTTCTAATTTAAATTTAAAAAAATAAAAAATGCTGATAAAAAGTTACTATGTTAACATATTCACAGACATCACAAGTATACCTAAAGTAAAAATATGACAAAAATAGAAAACTACAAATACAGACTATGGAAGTATTATCATTATAGAACTACTGTAAAAACACTATGTAGTAGACTCAAATGTTATATTCAACTTGTTAAATGTTTTAGCAAAGAATGAATAAATATTTCAAATATTAAACAGACTCCAACGTTGTTTAGTTGGATACAAAGGTCATCATTTTTTATGCAGAACTAACTGGAAGTCCCAGTACCTACATAAAAACCTGCGTGGGGCTATGTGTGGGCTTGTAATACCTATGCCAAAAGAAGCAGACAGGAAGATTACTGAGGCATGTTGGCCATCAGCTTAGCTTGGCATGCCATCTGCTTAGTTGACAATTTAAGGAAAGACCCTGACTTAAAGGGCAAATAACATCCTTTTGTGGCCTCTGCACATGCAGCCATATATACAAAGTTTCTTTAAAGGCATATATAAATAATCCTGAAAGATCTAAGGAAATAAAGTACCATTCTTCTAAAAAGTGAGCTAAATTTAGGGCTTGTGTTTCACAAGTAAACTACTAGGTTCATGTATATCACTGTATATACAAACACTTTATGGGTTGTGGAGGGGGGTGAGAAAGTCTTGACACATAGCCCAAGATAGCCACAAATTCACAGTGCTCCTGATCCCAGACTGGTACCATCACAAGGAGCTTTAACATAGGTACTTCTTAGAGGCAGTAGGTGGTCAATGTCCACACTAACATTCTGTTACCATCAAAGAAAAAGTACAGGATTTAGGACAGTGTTCATTGAACTGAATTTTGTTCATGGAAAGGAAAGTAATGAAAAGCCAAAAAAAAAAAAAAAAAAAAATTACAACCATGTTGGACCTAGAAGAGGCCCTAAGATTGGTACTTAGGTAGGTAAAGAAATGCCAATTCCAGAGAACAGTTTCAACTAGAAGATTCAACTCTGGCTTGGTTTTTATTAACTGGGAAGTAGCTTTTTCTCAACAAACATAAATGGGCCTAAAGGCTGAGAATCAGACTGGGGATATGTTAGCAAAAATAACTGCCTACAATACAATAACCTTAGGCCCAAAGGCCTAGACCTAATAAAGGATTAGTAAACAACAGAAATCCCTGGGTTGCCTGAGTATCTACTTGTAATTAACCTTCCCTATACATATATTTGTGTTACATCCTCAGCTTCTCACACTGCAGTAAAGGAGTATGAACATAAATAACTTTTATCTATCATGTACTTCTCCAAATGTCATACAAAAAGGGATATGTCACAATCTAAAACCCTGAGACACCATGAAGGATGATACAAGACAACAGAGGCAATTACAATGCTTTTTCTGTCTGTCACTAAGAAATGCAAGATTTCCGTGTTGAGAATAAGACTCAGGGACTGTTTTTCAACAAAATAAAGTGGTCTTACATTTAAACTTAGTATGGACTTAGGAACTTCAACAAATGAAGAAGGGGAGTAAGTTGAGATGTAAAGTAGATTCAGGTACAGATTGCTTCTACAGAAGTTAACATATGTTTGGTATTTAAAATGTAACTCTGGGGACAAGGGGTAGTGTGCTATGGTAGAGAGCTTTCCCAGCATGTTACATAAAACCCAGGGCTTAAGTTCTAGGAGCAAAACAAAGAAAATGCCAACTCTTAAAGGATTCTTGGTTTAATGGCAACCCATTTGAAAATTATTTATTGGGATAGAAGCGTGTGCAGGTAGAGGTCAGAGGAAATTGTGGAAGTAGGTTCTTTCCTTTTTCATGTGGTTCTCAGGGATCAAACTCATGTCATCAGGCTGGGCAGCAAGTACCCTTACCCCGTCCCATCTCAATGAAATTTTTTTTTCCTTTTAGCTACATGTGCTTAATCTTCCCACTATCAGAGGATTTTAACTGGATGAGGCTTTATCTCTCATTTTCTAGCGTCAAAACTCTAAAGATGCTACTGTTACATGGTGGGTAGAGCTCAGAGTAGATATTGAAGAGTTTGCCAGTCAAAATGCAGCCCAACCCCCATCCCCTCCCCCAACAACACAGAATTATCTAACCCACGATGTCAACAGCACTCTGTTTGAGGAATATGTACCATCACAACACAAGGCTAGTTCTAACAAGGAAAACTGTAACGTTACTACACCCTCAGTGACAGGAAATGTACCTGTAACATGCATTGAGATACCACACCCTCTGGAATCTCAGGGAAACGTTGCCGGAGATCATGGAGAACCTGAATATCAAGCTGGGGACTGCTTTGCGCCATGCCAGAGGAAATGTTGGTCAAGTCTCACTTAGGAAATGGATATTAACAGGCCTTCCAAAAGTAATGGTCTTCCAACACCTCTGTCATTTTCTGTTAAAAGAAAACAAAAGTCTGGTTAAAGCTAATTCCATAGTTTATTTTATTCAGACACCATCAATTTATTAAAATAAAGAAAATTAAAGTAATTATACCTAGATTCAATGTTAGAAAATGGATAGATTCAATATATTTCTTTTGATGTAATATAGCCAATCAAACTAGTATTTAAAAAAGACAACTAAAATACAGAACCTAAAATCTTCAGTTTTACTTTGATTCTGGAAAAAAGTACAGTGGCAGCCAGATTAAAAGCACATAGTATATTATATTGTCATTATGTTATTATTATGCAACAAGACTTTTTTAGCCTTGAGAAATTCTATTTATGTACAATCACTATTGTTTTTCCAAGGTCTATAACATCACTACTCCAAGGCACTGTCATTTTTCTGATACCTGGAATAATGAAATAGAGAACTAAGGACTTGATAATAATACCACTAAGAATACCTGTATAATTTATATTCTCCCTGTACTCTGAAGACAAAAGATTTGCATTTGAAATTCATGTCAAGGAAACCTCATATCTAAATGAAACAAACTAGGCAGAAAAATGGAATTGTATCAACTTTGCTTTCAAACTGATGCTGGAGATTCATTATTATCCAGACCTGGCTGTCAAGGCTTTTGCATAGTTGGGATGCCAATAAAACAAGTACTAAAGATGTATATTGTCTGGTAAAAATCAAATGGTCCCTCAATCTTCTCTAGAACTACTCAAATTAAGAACCTAATAAAATAAGGTAAGCGCTAAAACTAATGCCTCAGAAATCAATTGGTGGCATCAAAGGTCGATGAACCAATACATTTCTTCATATTTATCATCATCACTTTTAGAAACTAGAAAAATACAGTGTATTCTGTGCAGTTTCATGTTTGCTGTATTCAGTCACTTAATAGTAAAAAAAAAACTAAAATAAACATCTGCATAGAACATGTAGAAAACTGTATAGCACAAGTCTAAGCCACACATATATCAATATTCTATCTCTATTTTAGAGATTTATTTTTATGAGTTTGAATGTTTTGCCTGCATGTATGTGTGTGTACCATATGTTTGCTTAGTGACTGCCAAAGTCAGAAAAGGCCAACAGATTTCCAAGAACTGGAGTTACAGATGACTGTTAACTACAATGCAGGTGCTGGTAACTGGATCTAGGTCCTCAGCAAGGGCAATAGATGCTTGTAATTGCAGAACACCTCTTGCATGTGTGCAAGCGAGCGTGCCTGTGTGTGTATAGACATGACCCAGTGCATGTGTTCAGGCTCCAGATGGTAACTCCAGGGAAATGGTTCTCTCCTTTTACCATATGGATCCTGGGGATCAAACCCAGGTGCTTGGGTTCTGTAGTAAGTACCTCTACACGCTGAACCATCTGGCCATCCCACAATGTTCTCTTTATTACAAACATTTCAAATTTTTGTATTTAATTACTTTTGTTAGTTTATTCTTTAGTGAATAATCAGAAATAAATGTTAACAGCTTTCTCACCACTGAGGGACTGCCATATTCAAAACAACTCATGACTACTCAACTGAAATTTAAACCAAGAACTTCTGAGGCATCAAAGGCTTAATATTTCATAGTAACTCAACAAAATTACTTTTTAAAAATTTCAGGACCATACTTAGTAGTTTTTACAATACAAAGTCAGTATAGTTATCATGATAAAGAAGAAAAGACAAGAATAAAACCAGAATTAGTTTTGAGTGCATTGTACAGTCTCCATCCATGTAGTTCAGAGTGCTCAGTCAGCACAAACTTTCCATTCAATTTATCACTATTATTAGCTCGCATTTACTAAACAACTATACCTTCAAGGGTAACTATAATTAGCTCCACTTTGCAAATAAGAAAATGAATTCAGAGAATACATTTATGGCAAAATCATTACAACTCAAATCCAAAACCTGCATTCTCTATGGTTTTATACACTATCAATGATAGGTATCATTAACAATCCCAGTACAAATACTCAAAGATGACTGACCTCCCCTCTTTCACTGGCTGGGGAAAAGAGGGAACTCTCGGTTGTTTGCTACCTAACTAGAAAGTTCTGAGTGTGTGGGGAGGTGGAAAGCTGGGAGTAAAGGAAAGAATTCTTGTATAAATTAGCTGATTTTACAGGGTATGCAAAATGCAGACCAAAAGAAGATGCCTTTTGTAATGTTATTAATCATGTATCCTTTATTTTTATTTTATTTTTCACTAATATTTTATTCACTTTTTTCTTTTTCTATTGAAAATATTTTTTTTCATAGACTATATTCTGATCAGTCTCCTTTCTCCCAACTCCTCACCCACCAAATCTACAACCCTTTCTTTCTCCAAATAGTTGGATCTTTTTTTTTTTCGAGACAGGGTTTCTCTGTATTGCTTTGGAGCCTGTCCTGGACCTAGCTCCATAACCTTGAACTCACAGAGATTCACCTGCCTCTGCCTCACAAGTGCTGAGATTAAAGGCGTGTGCCACCAATGCCTGGCAACCATTTCTTTCTCTTTCTCATTAGAAAACAGGCAACTGAAAAAAAAAAAAGAGCCAATGAAAAAGAACAAGAAACACATACAGATGTGTGTATATGGCACACAAACACACACACACTTACACATATTGCAACAACAACAAAAAAAACCCACAAAAGCAGAAACCACTATATATAAGCAGGAGAATGGTAAAGTTACAAAAATACCTAGAAAAAGCATTGTGATAAAGAAAAAATATAGCAACAATATATCAAACATACAACTAAGTTCATTTTGTGTTGGCCATCTATTCTTGGGCACACAGCCTATACTTACTTAAATGAGCCTTGTACAACCAGTAAGACTCCATTGGTGAAAACAATTTTTTCCTTGTGAGTGATTAGCAATTGGAGATAGCCTCTTGATTAAGGATTGTGGCTTGTGTCCCCTCTCAGTGCTGGGACCTCATCTGGCTTACTGTACATGCCCAGTGCATGCTGCATATTCTCTGGGAGTTCATATGTGCATCAGCCCTGTTGTGTCTAGAAGGCCTTTTTTCCCTGGTATCTTGCATCCCCACTGCCTCTTAACAATTTCCAGGGCCCCATGTAAAACCCCAAATAACTCATGTTATTGCCAAGGCTATTGGTTGCTCTCCACAAATTTACAAACAGGAAGGTACTATTGTTGAAGACAAAACTTACATAACTCATCAAATACAGAAAAGTTGAGCAGGTGTCTACCTTCACTCCTACTTATTAGTGTTCATGGTACAAAAGGGTATTCCACATGCTACCAGAAGAGAAAGGTAACCACCAAATAAGCGACACATCCTTTGTTCTTCAATGGTGAACTGTCTGCACAATGCACTCACTGGTCCAAGAATGGCACAAAAGTTGTAGGAGTAACCAACCACTATCTGACTAGATTTAAGGTCACTCTGTGAGACAAAAACCATGCCTGCCACTGCCTGGGTGGCCATGGATCTGAGACTAGAGAGACGATGGATTTAGAGAAAACCAAATATTATGTTCTACTAAAGAAACATACCAATAAAATGACTCCTAATAATGTTCTGCTAGACTCATAGATCAGTGTCTTGTTCAGCCATGATCTCGTTATTCTTAACAATGTTTGCTACTTTGCCTTACATTCTCTTATACAAGCACTAATATGGATAACTGTTTAGTATTTCATAGTAGTATAAAACAGTCAAATGTAATAATCTCTTGAAGACTACAATGTTAAAATAATTCAATTTCCTTTTTGGTCACTAAAAAGTTAAGCCAACAGTAAGGGGATCACATGAACCAGAAGACACTCTAGGGCTGAGACATTACTTCCTGTTATTTTATGTGCATTCCTAAATGTGTGTGGTGTGTGCAGGTACAGGTACACATTTGTATAGAGGCCTAAATAGGATATCAAATGTCTTCCTTAATTGTGCTCCCTTTATTTACTGGCAGCATTTGTTGCTGAGAATGCATCCATCCCAGTTGTCTAACTAGCTAGCTTACCCTAGGAATTACATCTCTGCCGCCTCAGTGCTAGGATTTCAAGCAGTTTCAGTATGGGTTCTAGAAATCCAAACTTCAGTCATTACACTTTTGAGGCAAGTGTTTCATACATGGAGCCATCTCTTTAGCCCTCTTTTTTCCCCTTTAATTTAAGACATGTTACATGCCTTAGCACAAGCTGCCCTATAACTTTCAGTGGTCTCCATGTCTAAACCTCCCAAGAGCGGGAATTATAGGTATATGTTACATATGACCGGGACTCCTAATTTTTCATGGCAAGAGAAAGACAAGAAATTATGTTTAGCAGTGGCATCATAGAGAGTTCCTAAATCAGGAGAACTGGCTCAGCCCTACAAGGCACAATGCATTCAGTTACTGAATAAACTGCTGCTTCTGGGATTTCTCCCCAAAGAATTCCTCCTCCCAACTAGAGGAAGCTCTCCCAGAGCTCTGCTGAACCACAATTCCCCATAGTCTAGAAAATGATGTGGATACCTAAGTGTTTTGTTTCTACAGCTTTTTATAAGCTCAGCAGATACAGGATGGTGTCATTATGGCTCAGAATGTTCTATCTTGGTCAGAACCTTAGTTCACTTCCTAAAATAATTACACCAGAGGTTGCAAACTAATGAATGGTCTGGAAGTCAAATCCAGCCTATAGATCTGCTGGGTTTGGTCTTTTCACAGTGTTAAAAAAAAGAGGAACTACTTTTTAAAATGGATGATTTTACATAAAAAAGTCAACATTCAACTTTTTGCTTGCTGTTTGTTTTTCAAGACAGGGTTTGTTCCTCTGTGTAACAACCCTGGCTGTCCTGCAACTCACTTTGTAGACCAGGCTGGCCTCGAACTCACAAAGATCCACACGCCTCTGCCTTCCAAGTGCTGGGATTAATGGTGTGCACCACCACTTTCCAGCAACATTCAATTTTTCTTTTTTTTGAGACAGGTTTTCTCTGTATTGCTCTGGAGCCTGTCCTGAAACTCGCTCTATAGACCTGGCTGGCCTCGAACTCACAGAGATTTGCCTGCCTCTGCCTCTGCCTCCTGAATGCTGGGATTAAAGGTATGCACCACCAATGCCTGGCACATTCAACTTTTTAAAGTCACACTAGCCAGCAACTATAGGCAAGTAACTGGCTGAAGCTGACGTATACTATACCACTTATTCAGGAAGAACAAATCTACTCCCATTTTTTTTCCCTAGAATTCACATATACAGAGTTCTGCCCTTGCTCCACCTATTTACATACCTTCTGGATTTGGGTACCTAAAATGTGTTATAAAGATGAAATCAATTTAGCATGTCTAATGGTATATTATAATATTCTGTCCCAGACAGAGGAGCTATTTAGCACACTGGCCACTCCCATGAGAAGTCTCAGCAGCAGCAAATGACCACTAGAGTGGTAAGGCAAGAATTTCCTAGGTTTGAAGGAAAATGTTTTGTTGTGAGAGGACTTTTTACAAATTTTTAAGTGAATGAATCACTATCTCTTTTTTGTTGAGGCAGGTATTCATGAAACCCAGGATGTCTTGAATTCATTAACTTGCTGCGGTTAAGTCTTGAACTAATGCTCCCTCCTCCATTTCCTAAGTCCTGGTATCAAAAGTGTACTATCAAGACCAGCTAAGAAACATTCATTTTTCTGACAGATATGGCCAAGTAATAACTACTGGATAAAAACAAAGTGTATATATTAGCATAATGCCTTGGAACTTTCATTCATTTTCATGTTATACTGGAGGTTTTGATTTTACATAATAGTTATTAGATCTTATCTATATACCAAGCACCATGCTGTCCTTTACTTAATTTAATTCCCTTTGATGAAGGGAATACAGAGGTGAATACATAGTTTTAAAAGTCACAAAGGATGTAAGTTGAAGTCTATGTTCTTACCTATTAGTTTCCTGTCCTGTTAACTGGTATGATTCTGATGTCTTATCTCTTAAAGGAAAACTTAAAACAAATCTTTCTTTGAAAATAGGAGTATTTGTACTAGACTGAACTTTTCACATTAAATGCCAACAGAAGTATCCAATACAAGAGGACTTATCAAACAGAAAAGAGATCTTTCAAGTACATAGTCCCAATTACAAGACTTTTTTTGTACATGTACATATAAAATGATAGGAACATGATCCTTGTAGTTTCTCCTAGAAGGGTACCCCAATAATTTCCTAAATAAGCATGCTATAGGATCTTCATTATAGTAAAAATAAATCTCAGGTAGTCACGGATTTGGGGCACAGAGCTCCTATTTTATTGTATTCTCAAAATAAATGAGACCAAATTAACATTTTCATTAAAAAGATCAACAAAAACATGTTCAAGTTAAATATATCTCTAGAAACAAATAAAATCATTTTCATGTTAAAATTAATCTTAAAATATTCTCAGGATTATGTTTGTTATCTGTAACCTGTATATTGAAATAGTTACACATAGGCTTATGTTCCAGCCAGAAGAATCTTGAACAGTGGTTCTCAACCTCTAGTTCTCTACCCTTTAGGGGGAGGTGTCAAATGACACTTTCACAGGGGTTGCCTAAGACCACTGGAAAAACAGATATTTACATTATGGTTTATAGCAGTAGTAAAATTAGTTATGAAATAGTAACAAAAATAAATTTATGTTTGGAGGTCACCACAACATCACGAACTGTATTAAAAGGTCACAGAATTAGGACGGTTGAGAACCACTGATGTGGAATGAATAAGCATATCCAGCAACAAGTTTCCAGTAGCATTCTCTAATAGGAAGAATCACAACACCATAGAGAAATAGCTGATTCTAGAACTAAGACAAGGATTATACATGATAAGCTTCAAGCATCTTGTAGTGCCAGGAAGAAACACTAAACAAACAAACAAAAATCCCACGATGATAGGATCATGTCAAAAATAACACAGGAGACAACTACCCAATGACCACAGCTTTTTAGAACTAAAACATCAAAATGAAGTAGTATTATATTATGACCCAGAATATAAACTAAATATCCTTAAAGTACACACTGATAAAAGGAAATGTTAAAATTGAGAGGGGATACATTTCCCATGCCTACCAATTCCATCTAGCTTATGCAGAACATTTATCTTCAAAGTAGATGGAACATAATAACTTAAAGACAGTTTAAGTGTGGTGTCTACACTGCTTTCTTTCCAAAGAGCAAGATACAGAAAAAGATGAAGACAAATGCTTGGTTTTATAGCAGAGAACATGATAAACCCTTTCTCAGCCAGGTGAATCAAGGTCAATATTAGCAGTGATAAGCAATACTGATAGCATACACTCTGGATATGACTAGGAAAGAACATCAAATGGTACTTTATCTTTATAGCCTTCCTCTAAAATAATCCATAATCCCACTCTAACCACTAGTGAAACATCTAAGGAATATACTACAAAGTACTTGATCACTATGGTCCCCTCAAAACTGTCATGGTCTCAAAAAGAAAAAGGATAGGTTGAAATAGTGTCACAGAAAAGAGGAACTCAAGGAGACATAACAACCAATCGTTACATAGTTTCCTGTTTGGAAGCTTAAAACAGAAAGAAAAAAAAATACCTGTTTAAAAACTAAGGAAATATGAATGATGGGTCCTCAGTTATAATAAAGGCATGCTAATGTATACTATTAACAATAGGAGAAACTGAGTATAGGCTATATGGAAACTGTACTATATTATCAATACTTTTGTAAAATAAATCTATTCTTAAAAATTAAGACTATTTAAAATTGGAGAAGAAATATACCTCAATATGGTTTGTGAGTCCCAAACAGCAGTTTTTTTTTTCCTTTCTTTTTTTTAAATTCACATCTCCAGCTCCGAAATGACCTTCTTTTCAGTAGTCTAGGATCTGGAAAAATAAAGATAGTTATCCTTTTGCTAATCTCCCAACTCAAAATTTACAATGACAACGAGGAGACCTCTAGTGACTTAAAGGAATGGCAGACAAGATACTAGACTATCCTTTAAGACATGTGGCTCCTTACCAATTATTACCACAACCTGACTCATATTTTTATATAAAAAACATTTCTATAGTAATCAAATTCCACATTATTCCATAGAAGAAACCTGCATTAAAAAAAAAAAATAAGAACATAGTCTACTGTTTATTTTCTTGAGGTTTTGTGGCAACTGACTGTAACTTACCACCCTGAGCTCTCATTCTATTTAGACAAAAGATTAAACCTGGGTCTATGAGATACAAACTTTTTAACTGCATAAGTGAAATATTTAATTTAAAAATGCTATTATATGTTTCTGTTTCACAAAGATTGATCTATATACAGAATAGTAACTTTTATTTCCTTATTTTGATAATGAACACTTTCTGCAATTTAGAGATTATCTGCAGTCTTGGTAAACCTAGTAATTCAGGTTAACATCATCACGTTAGTAATTATCAGGCTGTAACAGCTTGCAGTTAATCTTCCAAGTGTGCTTCATTTCATAAATACAGAACTAAAATACCATATCCTGTTTACAATATACTTCTAGTACTTTAATATGTACTTTTAAAACTTCTCACTTTATCTTGAATAAAAACGATATTTAAGTATGAGTCATAAGTACTGATCATCCAAGTTACTATTTCTACCATGTGCAACAACCTTTGATATAAATCAAAATCCACCCCAAATCATGTTACTCTACCATGAACTTCAGTAAACACAGCTTTTTCTCATTTTACATGCCTACAAAAACCAAGTGTCTGTTACTACTTTCAGAACCTCAAATAGTATATTTGTTAAGTTTTAGTCTCTTCTATGTTTTATCAATATAAATCTTGAACAAGAGCAAGACAACCTCTTTTGGTTATAATAGTTTATGCATATTAATATTTGGTAGAAATGTCAAAATATAGGACTTTAAAAGAGCTAGAAATTTAATATGCTTTGGTTAAGGTATCCTAACATCTTTGTCAGTTCAATTCCTAAATGATATTACTTCAAAAGAAACACAAAGCAACCTATGAGTGACATATTCTTGAGGCAGATACTCTCCACATTTTATTTCTTGTGTTTTTTCAAATTTCTATGTTAGGGCTGGAGATATGGCTTGGCTGTCAAAGGCTAGGCTCACAATCAAATTTCAATGTTAAACATATGTACTGAGCAATGTCTATTCTTAAAAAAAAAAAAACTAACAGATAACAGAAAACTAAAAAAGTGTAATGCATAATGATAAATATTAAACAAAAAATCAGTTCCAAGTATGTACAAATATATTAGATATAATTACATGTGTTTCTTATTGTGAGAGGATTTGATAACTGACCTAGAATATGGTAAGATCTTCTAGGTTACTTAAGAAAAATATTTACTGCTATCCTTGTTTACATTTTTTAATAACTAGAAGATTTCTATTTGATTAAAAAACCTCTTTGTACCAGTGAGACTGGCTCAGTGATTGAAGGTGCTTGGTACCAAGGCTGACAACCTGAGTTCAATCCCTAGGACCCATATGGTTCACTGAGGGAACAGACTCCTGCAAGCTGTACTGTCACGTGCATGCTGTGGCACATAAGCACGCGCGTGCATGCACACACACACACACACACACACACAATATAAAAATGTCCAAGTCTATATGAAAACTGCAACTAGCTTACTCTTAATCTTTGTGACTTTCAAATACAGCCTCCAAGTGTTCCTATAGTTGGCTCACATATACATAAAGGGCGTGTTCATCTTCTAATGTGTTATTGCTCTCCTTAATCCAGAAATTCAAGTTCTGTGGGGCTCTTCTAGTGGATGGATTGAAAATGTTAGCAAGAATACCATTTAAAATGATTTATTTAACAGTTTCTATCCTGGTATTCCCAAATCCATTGTCCATTCAATAAAATCTGAGCTTAAATATGCAAAAGGCACATATCTTCAAATTAAGAAAAATAGACTGATAGTTAAAAACAGAGTGGGGTGACAGTCTGTAGTAGTCAGGAAAAAAAACTTAATTAAGACAAAGAGAAGGAGAGCTGCAGGAAGCTTAAAGGAAGAAATGACACTGAACTATGGAGCGCAAATCCGATTTTTATTTTAAATAAAATTAATCTAATTATAAAGCTGGAAGCCTCTAACACACCCACAGACATTTAATAGACTGGTGAGATGGCTCAGTAGTTAAAAGCCCTTGCCACACAAGCCTGTTACCCTCAGAAGGAGAAAACTCATTTCTCAAACTTGTTTTCTGATCTCCATATGTGCTCCATGGCATGCACATAGTTGCATGTGCACATGTATGTGTGCATACACAGATAAAATACTTTTATTATAAAAGAGACATGTGATGTCTAGAATTACTTTTAGTTGTAATAATGAAGTGTAATGGAATATGTCAGGCAGAGGCCAGGAGTGCTCCAAACATCTCACAGTGCACAGGACAACCCCTGCTAACAATGTATTACCCACCTCAATATCATAATACTGAATCTGACAATCTCAAGATAACCGAAGGGAAGAGTGATTTAAAAACCAGCTTAAAAGGCAGTATCAATTAAATAGGCTTCAGAGACCCTTTGCCAGTGTTTCACTGACAACAGATGTTTCTTCATATACTAGGAAACATGTTAAAAAGAGTAGGAACATTTTCCAAGGTACAAAGATAAGCTATGCAGTAATCAATGCTGCTATCATCACACAATCTCTTGATTCAGAGCTATGTGACCCAAAGCCAGAATTATAGCTACAATACCACTAAAAATTGATACCCTTGGTTGTTAACGATACTAGCATTACTGTATGTTCAATTTTGTTATGGAAAATGATCTATATATGCATATATATATATATATATATATATATATATATATATATATATATATTACATTACTTGGGGTGGGTCTTAAATATTCCATTAGCTCCAACCAATAGAGATCTGAGTCCTGGGCCAGATCAGTATTTAAATCTACATGAATTAACCAGAGACCTCATAGTTTCTAATGCTAAACAGGCAGTAGTAACTGCTTAGGGTTTAAGGCCTAAATCTGAACAAAAGAAACTACATGTGCATCTCTTTATTTTTTTATCTTTGCTCTGCAGGTTGCTTGCTTTGGTTTGGTTTTGATGTGGTGCTTCATCTTGTACATTCAAAGGATACATCCAACATAGCACCTCAAGTAGCTGAAACTATAGGCATGAATCACCATGCCCACCTAGTTTAGCTGTCAAATGCACACCAGGAAAGGGTTATTTATGGGGAGCTGTGTAAATATGAAACATGTTAATAGCTACAGAGAACCACTGTCAACAAAGATAATCAAACTTCTTACCTTCAATTTCTCAATTGCCAAAACTTCAACTAAGAGACCTTGTGAAGTTGGATACACTATAATCCAGGGTAAATAACCTGAAAAAAAAAAATGCTGGCAACACTGTCCTAAAAAAAAGGAAGAATGACCAAAGAGGTAAGATTATGACAGTGAAAGGCTTAAAAGGACCATGAACAAATAAATGATAACCATATATAATGAAATGAAACGTCATGAAAATGTTAACAGTTACTTGACTACATGAAATTTCAGCGAATGAAACAGTTTATGTTTAATCAACCCTGAGAAAAAAGTTCCCTCTGCTGCCTGAGATAGGTTGCTCCCAACAGCTACTTCTAGGGCCTAAGGCCTTAATCTTTGCTTAAGATTCGGGCTTCAGGGAAAGTTAGCAAGAGTAAACCATCAGGGGGAACCCTGCAGCTTCCCAAGATATAGCAGCCATTAAAATTTAATGCATTTGATTACAAAACTGTGCTGGGGCCCTTTAAAGGCCATGGGTCTTTAAAATTTAAATGACTTGATTTAGTCACCAGTAAATTACAGGATTGTGTGCATTCCCACAGCTCAACTGAGTGCCATATCCTAAATGCAAGACAGCACCATGAAGTCAGTATAAGGGATTTTCTTTCTCTTTTGTTTTTGTTTGTGTTTGTTTTTCTGCTACTCAATTTCAATAGAATAGGATAACTTGCTCAGAACTATGAAGACTAGATGCTTCTGCATAACCCACAAAATCACTAACTACCATTTTGGGAATGGCTTGACTTTCTTCAGAAGGAAAAAAATTACTCCATCATAAACTTTAGTGAAATAATACAAAGAATTAAACAATGAAAACAAACAACCCATAACTAACAAGAGATTTCAGGTTAAGCAAACAGCTCTAGTAAAGGCAGGTAATGTTCTTTCATTGAGGGAAAAATAGCAAATAATGACAGAAGTAACCAAATTATACATTATGTATTCCCAGGTATGATATTAAGGTATGACAGTAAGTGTTTTTGGCCATGCCTCCAAAAGTATAAGCTGAACCTAATTGAGCAGACAGATAATTTCCTGTGCATTTTAAATACAAAGGATAAAAGAACAACCTAACCTCTACCAGAATGAAACTTCATAAAATAAGAAAGAACTGATACAGATCACAACAAAATTACAAAAAGGCATTAACTGGGAAAGTTTTCATATGAGCTAAGTGCTGACTATGCTGCTAAGGTATTATTATTAGGTGTGTTCTATGATAATGTCATTGCAGTTATGTAAGAAAATGTGTTATGAGTTACATTAAGTTGGAATGCAATTATGTCTTGTTTACACCATTCCTAGAAAAAAGAAAAGCAATGGGAAAAATAACAAATATGGTAATATGTTGTCAGCTATAGTAATTAGAAGTTTGCTGAACTTTTTATTTATGTACATTTGGAAATGGTCATTAATTTAAAAAAGAAATCTACTAAGAGTCACTATAAATGTTCAAGAAAAAATGCAACACATTCCAAGTAATACCTAAAAGATAGTGATTTTACCTGAGAGTGGTGATCCACATTTATAATACAAATACTTGGGAGGCTAAAGAAGGGACAATTTCAAGTTCAGGGCCAGCCTGGGCCACATAGAAAGACCCTGACTCAATATAAGAAAAGAAAAAATTTAGGAGGAAAACCAATGCTTTTAATTATAGGGGAAAAAAGGCAATAATAGAAAACATAAACCAGTATATTTAAATATTTATTAAAACTGCAATAAGTCACTTGTCTCTAGGGAGTAATCAACAACTAATTGTACCTAAAACCCACTCAACTGGAGGAAACTCAAGTATGGCATTGCCAACCTAACCAAACACATGGCTGGGGAGTTTGAAGGCTCTAGAAGAGAACCTACTACTACCATGCTACTTAAATAACAGACCTTTAAGCTGCTTTCTAAATACTTATCCTTACTCCTAGGTAAGTATAGCTCTCTCTCAAAGAATCTGATTTTTTTTTCCAGCAGGCAGAGCCTATGACAGCAGAACACACCTGATCAAAAGAGTAAGTGACCATGAGTAACTAACCCCAACTGGGCATTACAACACAACCCCTACACCTCAGGGAACACAAACGAGAGGAGGGTACAGTGGAAGGCAGATAAAATAGCCTGGGGATCAAGAGCCTGGGGATCAGAAGGGCTGCTGCAAGACAATTGTCTTTTTGACAGGATAGGGATCTTGTGGAACCTACAAACTCTCAGCAATATAGTTGCCTAGATAAAATCTGCAAGACCACATATGACATACAAACACAGATGGAGGAAAATTTCATGAGGCACCACTCCTAGTTGAAGTGCTACAGGCAGTCCATGGCTGCTGAAAGAAGGAGAATAAGATTTCTTCAGGGATGAGCCCCCAGTCCTAATTGTCAGCCACAAACCATGTACATTCAAGCATTTAGCTATATGTGCATATGTGTGTGTATAAAACACAACAATTAAGAGGTCATGAATTTGATGGAAGAGCTGGAGGGGCAAAGGGAAGGGTGGGGATGATACAAGTACCATACACTCATGGAAGAAATTCTCTAATAAACTTGAAGTGATGAGGCTCACAAGTATAAACTCCATATGTTGATTCTTTTGAGCTGGTGAAATGTGTACACTTTGTATGCTACTGAGAAAAAAGTTTACAGAAGGGGGAAATAAATTCAATAAGGTAAATTTACTGAAGGAAAATAGCCAAAGTAGATGACAGAAAGCATGCAGTATTAAGAGTAAAAAAGGGGGGCACATACAAAAGCACTGGACCAGTATATTCAAAGGGATCTGGTACAAGTCAGAGATCTTTCAATACTTTTAAACATAACCTATTTGTGAATGGAACATGGAAGAAAACTAATGAATGAGGATCCCCTAAAGAGAATCCCTAAACAGAGGTAAAGAAAAAAAATGTTTGTGAAAGAAAACCAACAGACAAAACTGGAAGAGAAGACACACTCATATCTTAGAGCTGCAGGAACTCAATGTCATGTGGTTGAATATACTACAAATAAATAAAAGCACTCAATGTTCACAGGAGTAGTAATGATAGCTTTTTAAGGCTTTTCAAGCACAGGAATTGAACGCGGGATGGGAGAGACACTTTGAAGTGGAAGTACCACCACAAATACAGAAGCAATGACTATTGTTGGGACAGAGGTTTGAAACAGGTCAGCTTTTAGCTGTTAACATTCAGAAGGATAGAGCCAGAGGTCTGAAACAGGTCAGATTTTGACTGTTAACATTCAGAGGGATGGACCAAACAGGATTTGGCTAAAATTCCATCAAGAGTGAATGAAGAAGCAAGTAAGGAAGCCTTACAGAAGATATTCATGAAGACAGTGTGAGTTTAATGACAAAGGTGACAGATGTAATGAAAAGCAGAGAGCTTCTTCAGAACTGGACAAAGGAAAGGGGTGACCCATTCCAGATGAAAGAGGAAGAGTAACACAGCATGCTTTCTAACAGGACACAACAATGGTAAATCTTAGAGCCAGTAAAATGATTCTCTAGAAATCAGGTAATATGAAGGTCAGTGAGTATAGGACAGCAAATGGCCATCTCTTAACAGCCTCTAATTTAGGACATGAGTCATAGGGTCTTGACATTAGGGTTTACAGGAAAAATATAAAATGATGAAACTTTGAAGTCAGTGTGCATCTCGAGGCCACAGTAGTTAAAATAAAATGTGTACTAGTAAAATACAACATACATTATTTCCAGGTATAGGGCCACAGACAAGTTACTTAAGCTGTCTCAAGCAGCAGTTTCCTAATCTTTTGCTTAATGCCACACCTAATCAGATACTAACCTCAAAGCCTACTGTGGGCATTTATATACATAAAAGAAAAAAGGGCTATGATTGGTAATGTGCCATATTTATTCACTGTGCTGAGTGTTCACATGGTAGCAAATCTTAGACTCCCAGAATTTCCTTGCTTTTGTATCTCACAAGCAGATGTATACTATACCAACATACAGGTACACTAACAAGTCACGGTAAAAGGGAAACTTGGATAGTATTCTGCTCCATGAGAGTAATAAAAATTAGTTGCTATTAGAATCCCAATTTGAATAACAATCTAGAAGAATTTCACATTCTGATAGTCATTCCAGACACTCTGTTTATCTAAAATGTTAATATAATAAACTTACTTATCGCCAGGGACTAGGAACTGCCAGGGTTAAAAGGACTCAAAACTGTTGTTGAACAGGCAGGAAATAATTTACTTATATTTATGCATACATAAAGTGGTAACCTTTGAATAAAAATTACATAATTGTACATGTGAGTACAGCTATTTAAAACAAATCTTATGCACAACTAGAAAAATAGCCTGATGTCTTGGAGAAGAGAAAGTCATTGCCATTCATAAGTAAACTCTTCACACAAAGAAAGACCCAGTCAAAATCCTTTCATGTATAACATACTGGGTTTTTTAAAATCAACCCTTCCACCACAGACAATAGACTTAGACAACACATTTAAAAATGGCATTGTCTTAAAAGTTCGAAGACTATCAGGAAAGTACTTTGATATCCAGGAAAATAGGGAATTTAGAAGATAAAGTCAGAAGTTAAAATTTACCTGACAGCCTGATAAGCCACGTCCACAAGAGTGGTAGGTGCTGTTTTCCCACCTTCAGCTTGCAATCAGCACTTTAGAAATAAATGTAAATCAGAAATTAATCACTGTCTATAATGTGGTCTTGAGTCATCTGACTGACTCAGCATTAAAATGCTTGCCTAGCACATACAGGCCCTTAGGTTCATCACTACTATTACCATCAAAAGGAAAGAAACAACAGCAAAAACACCTAGAATAAACATCAAGAAAGCAAGCATAAGAAATAACCAAAACCATAGAAATAATAATTGCTGTTACCACTGCCACTGCAACAACAAAACAATCCAGAACATATTCACAAGGGCTACAGTTATTAGCAATATTGGGCTACAGGTTTTAAAATATGCTTGCTGTATTCAATAGAAAAATAATCTGCTTCAAAACTGAAGTCACACAAAATAGCAAAGTATGGATTTATGTTATATCTAAGACAATGAGAGGTTTTAGAAAATAAATCACTGTGCAGACATC